CATGTTGGTTCAAGCTGTTGGCTCAAGACCTGCAGGCTACGGTGAACTCAAGACCAGCCTAGGGGCAAGAAGGAAAGGTTGCTGTCCAGCTGAGCAGTTGGGGCGAAGGTAAAACGCCTGACACCTTGCTGCTGTTGCCGCATTTTGCGCGCAGCCTTGTCATATTTGTCTTTCTTTACTATCTTCTTCAAAGCCATGCGGCAATCGCGCACTATACAGGGCCCGCTTGAGCCTTGAAAATTTTGTTCAGCGCAAAATTCTTGGGCAATGCACACACATCTGAAGCAGGAAGCACCCACGTTCGAAAGCATGACTGAAGCAAGGCCGTTCGCACCTCTGCGCTGCAGTGCAGGCTGCCCTGCCAGCCATCTCCGCCTGTTAAATTCGCTGCAATTTTTATTTGGGCAAGACGCTTATAACTGCAAGCTATGCGCACTCAACAGTCTCTGCAAATCACAGGCAGCAAGCATGATGAGATGTCCGGCTTGCCTCAGCTTTGACGCCAACCTGGTCGCGCTGGCGGCTTCTTCGGGAACTGGTCAATGAGAGGACGAGTGTCCCTGTCACGGCAAGCGCCCTGAGCTGTTTCCTGATTTTTCGGTCTCGTTACCGGGGAGCTAGGTGGCCTCACACGATGGGGCGGGGTTTGTGGCAGAGGCGCAGCAGGATCAGGAGCCAAAGGTGTCACAACCTTGGGGTGGAAGGAGATGTCTGTCTGAATCTCCTGAACAGCAATCTCAGCTTTCTTGGCTGCTCCCTCTGGAACAATTGACTCACTTGGAGCGTCGCCCTGCAACGCCTCTGGTGGCAGAGCAGAGGTCTCAGTCTCAGCTGCTCCTGCTTGGCCCTGCAGTGGTAGAGGAGCTGCTGCAAGCGCAGCTTTCTTCTGCCGCCAACGCACCCACCCAGAAGGCCCACTCCTGGATTTCGCAGCCGGTTTCTTCAACACTTTTTGCCGTGTCTGTGGCAATGGCTTCTTCTGAGCCGGGCCCATGCCATGGCACAAGAAGATGCACCTTGAGTAACTGATCACACAGCCTGCGCGCCGTTACCAAAACCTTGCAACCCAAGCTTTGCAAAATGCTTGCTCCAAAAATTGCACGCGCTCTATACACATGAACTGAGCATGTTTCACTTACAGTCTTGCAGAGACATCACATTTTCGGACACACGCAGATCAATTTGACAGCTCAATGTCAACGCTTGTGTCCGGAAAATTGAGACACAACCCCAATTTTCCTGACTTTGGGTCAAGTTTTGGGGAAATAAAGTTGTAGGGTTTTTCCAGAAGGAATTAAGGTATTAAGGGTATTAAGGTTTTTTCCCAACGCAGACATGGCGCAGCCTCTATGACGCATGCACATATATACAGTTGCGTGCGAAGCCTTTGCGACAATGCGAAAGGCTTGCGATCACTCGC